CTGTCTCTGATGTGGAGATGAAGAACTGAGACTATCTCTTAGGGAAGGCAGTGGCAGCAGGCTTTTAATTTTTGCTAATTCCCTTCGACTTCTGGCATAAAGTGGTAGTGTTGAATTTAGGGCGGGCAAATGTGAGCCTCTTGCAACAAGGATGCCTTCTGCCCTGGGCGTGGATGTGCTTCAGGCACCTGCACAAAATCCTCCTGTGGAGGTCGCTTATTGTACCTTGTGGGCAAGATTCCTGCGGTTTCGTGTTGCATGTAGCAGCTTCATTCCCACAGCAGCATCAAGTTGAAAATCGCACGGTTTTGCTTCTTGCCATGCCTGTCTTCTTGGTCTGGCTCAGGAATAACCCTCTGAAAGTGTGTGACAGATCGTAATTTTCTGATAAAAACGTGAGCTGGCCACCTCTCTTGTGTCTTCCCTAAGTGTACGTGTTCAGAAATGAGTGAGAGCGAGTTGCTGCTGTGGTTTGCGAGGAAGCTGTGATCAAACTAAAGGCTTGTTTTGAGTGACACAACACACCAGCCCTTTGCTGCGTGACTGAGCAATGGCACGGCGCTTGCTTGAGTTTTTGTGGCCACAGTGTTGGCTTTCACGCTGAGAGCGCGTAACGCAGTTTGGAGGCCCAGATAGCTTTAGGCCATGGCTGTTTGCTTGCTTCAGCATTTTTCTGTTCTGAGAAATGAAAAAGGAAAGTAAGCAGTTGTTTGGGCAGCAAAGAAGCTTGCCTTGCCGTCTGCTTCCTGCACTCTATCGTGATGGAACAGCAGATGTGCTGCCTAATTTCCCTTTAGAGATAATTCAATAAAAAAAAAGCTAAAATCACATGTTGGTTTTGGTGAAATTGTATGTTTCTGATGACTCTTTTGGGAGAAACTTAACGTTGAGGAGATGAGAATCAAAACGGCAAAAGGCTGAAACGTGGTGGTGAGAATTAAAAAGATGTAAAACATCACTTTTGGCTGGACACAAATACTTTCTCTCTGGTTGCACAGGGGTTTCTTCTGCCATTTCTCAGGCTGTCTGGAGTAATTTCTGTCAAAGGCAGCCTTGCCCGTGGGAAGCTTGCTGAGGAGCATGTGTTTGGTATCGAATTCTCCTGACTGGATCCTGGTTGATTTGTAGGTGTACTGGCTTCATCTTCCAGAAAGTGGGAAAGCTGGCAGCAACAGCAGTGGGAGGTGGCTTTTTCCTGCTTCAGGTGTGTATGAACAGCAGCTGGGCCTTCCAAAAACTCTGCTGGTGGGGGATGAAGGGCTGCCTAGTGATACCTGTTGGGACACGTAGGGCTCGTTCCCCGCTCTGCCGGGTGCTCTGCGTGGCCGTGGGTGTCAGGGGCACACGTTGCATGGATACAGCAGCAAAGCAGGATCAGTGTGTGTAAACTTGAGGATTTCCGAAAGGCGTTATCTGCTTAGGATCTGCTGACAAAGCTCAGGCCAAAGGCATGTGGGGGCTCTTCCTGCAGTGAAGCAGGAGATAGTGTTCAGCTGTGGCAAACCCTGCTGCTGCAGAACTGCCTGCTGGACTTAGTCCTGTGTCTGGGGAGGTGATGTCCCCGGAGGAACGGCCCTGCAGGTCAAGAGGTCTCTGCTAAGCTTCCTGTCATCCTGGCTACTGGAGGAGTCAGGCCAGCACAGGTGGGGTTCTCCGTAAAACGTTGAGTAAGAGGAGAAATGGAGACATCTCTCTCTATCCTCAGCCGTTTCTCCTGGTTTCCAAGAATCCCAGCACCGAGGGGAGCCGATCGGATGTGGAGATCAGCTCGTACATTCTGCAGGATTTCAAGGCGGCTCTCCTGCCCCGCTCAGTTTTATTTGTTTGCTTCTCAGGCGCCGTCTCACGTGTGACTTGTTCTCCCTGCTCTTCTGGCTTCTTTCTGGCCAGAAAGCTTGCTCTGAACAGGGCGGGTTCCACTGCTGAGTCATCCTGTCTGGATAAAATATTTAGAGAAGAGCAGGCTATTAATAGCTGTGACCACCCACAGCAGCAGGAGAGCTTCAGAGAGTCCCATGTGGCACTTGTAAGGGGGGAAGGCGATGCCAGCTTTACGTTAGAGGCTGAAACAGGCTAAGCTGCAATGCCTGCCCTGCTCTTCGGGGATTACTGTGGGAGACATGTTGCAGGATGATTAATACAGCTAAAGGCACGGTCCTTTGTTCAGTTTTTAAACCAGTGTGCTCGTCCTCTCAGCCCACAGGACCAGGTGAGGGAAGGTGGGTGGCCAAGGGGTTCAGTTTAGCCACGGTCGTCAGAGCTTTACTCCAGGAACTTTCTTTCCGCCCTCCAAAACTCTAGATTGCCAACCACACGGGATACATCAAAATAGACTGGAAGCTCGTGGAACGGGATGTGAATAAAGCCAAGCAGCAGCTGAAATTTCACAGCAGCGGTAACAAGATGGCTCCAGAAGTGAAAAGCAGAGTGGATGAGGTAAGACGACTCTCCCGGAGCAGTGCTTAGCTGGAAGGACTGGGTGAAAAACTGGCTGGATGGCTGGGCCCAAAGAGTGGTGCTGAATGGAGCCAAATCCAGTTGGCGACTGGTCACAGGTGATGTTTTTCAGGGCTCAGTGTCTGGGTCAGAGGTGTTTAATATCTTTGTCAATGACCTGGACAAGGGGGTCAAGTGCACCCGCAGTAAGTTGTCAGATGACAGCGAGTTTGGGGGAAGCGTTGATCTGCTGGAGCGTGGGAAGGCTCTACAGAGGGATCTGGAGAGGTTGGATCGATGGGCTGAGATCACTTGTATGAGGTTCAACAAGGCCAAGTGCTGGGTCACAACAACCCCCGTCAGCGCTAGAGGCTTGGGGAAGAGAGACTGGAGAGCTGCCTGATGGGAAAGGATCTGGGGGTGTTGGTGGACAGCCGGCTGGACATGAGCCACGAGCATGCCCAGGTGGCCACGAAGGCCAAGGGCATCCTGGCTTCTACCAGGAGTAGTGTGGCCAGCAGGACCAGGGCTCTGCAAACATCACTCACCTTTGAGAACAGCCTGAGAGGTGTCTTCATACGGGAGGTTTAGGTGAGTGACCTGTGTTTTTTGAACAGTGTTGGCTCTTCTCTCCCCTGCTTAGGTGATCATATTTCTGAAGAAGAATGTTATCCTGACTGGTGGGTTTGCTGGAGGATTCCTGCTTGGAATGGCATCCTAGAAACTACATTCAACTCTCCCTTCATGCCCAACCTCCCCTGTCACTCTCTACTGCTGTTCTTTCTCACTTAGAAGTGAAAGGATGTTGCCAACAGGCTCAATCCATTCTGCTCACAGGTTCCAGCCCTTACTGCTTACAATGCTGCTTCTCATTTTTTGGGCTGTTACGGTGCTGGGATCTGTCTGAAAGCTTATGACTCCAGCTCTGTCATTGTGATTCCTTTCCCCAGCCCCAAATTTTCCGATGAGTTACAGCCTCATAAGCACGTAGTGGCAGAGAAATTTCTGAAATGCACTTCTTCCCAGGTGCTGTGGGCTGTTGTATGTACATTTGTCTGCCGGTAGCCGTGTACGACAGCTGTCAGCTGTTCACCGCTATTTAGCTTGTGCTTTTTCTGCCCTTTGCTTCCCTGCGCACAGAGATGGTGTGTGCAATCCCACATGTGCTCTGCTGTCCTCAAGGGGACGCAGAAGTGTCAGGGGACGGCCAGGGCAGGTGGATAAGGAGCGATTTCACGCCATGTGTGGTGCTGGAGCTTCTGCCCTCCCCCTGCCGTTGCGGCACACAGAGGTGGCCGTTTGGTTTCTCACTCTGCTGTTATTTATATCCCTCGCTGGAACTGCAGCACTGGCACTGCTGATGGAAACTGAGCACCGTGGCTGACTGCAGGCCCTTTCTTCGTCGTGTGTTCTGCGCTGGAGAGGTGGCCTTGCTGGTTTGCTCGCTGACTGCTCGGCTTTCGAAACGCGCTGAGGCACGCTCCCGGGGTGGGCAGGCTTCCAGCGCGTGTAGCCTGGCTGTGTCAGGCCCACTGATGCGGGCGGTGTGCGATTCAGCTCTGCTACTTAATGCACATCAACCCCTCGGCCTCAGACTGGTGTTTTTAGGTCTGCTACGACCTTCTCTGGCTGCTTTGGGGATGCTCTCAGAGCTGTAGCCCTGTGGGACAGGATTGTAGAGAGAAAATGCATCCCTGTTCAGCGTACGTTGTGCTGGGGCAGGGTCACTGCTGGAGTGGTGGGGGGGGAAGATGAGGAATCTGGAGTCCTGTCTTTTACCTGCCTCTGCAGAGCACAAACTCCATCTCCCCAGTTTCTGCAAGGAACTGAAACGACAAAACGGTTGGCAAAAAACAGGTTGTGCTCTTGTGGGAGTGGCTCATTTCCATACTTTCTGCCTTGGTTATGTTCCTTCCTTCTTGCTGTTTACCATTTCCACAAAAAAGAAAAGCTGCTTGCTTAATTCCATCAGCTGCAGCCCTTCTGCAGGTGATGAGGTAGCCCAGCTGCAGAGCTCAGCTGTTCTTAAACAGTCTGTCCCAGTGTGACTGTCTGCAGAGCAGAACTCTAAATTACAAGAGAAAATTACAAAAAGAGAAATAAAAATCCCTTCAAAGTGTTCTGTTCTGCATTGGCTGGGCTGGCATGAACACTTTCCAGAGTGCAGGGACTTGCTTGATGGCTCCGTGATACCCTCCAGCAGGTCCCTGTAGGAGTTCTTGCCAAGAATATTTATTTTTTTGCGAAAGTCAGCGCATCCTTCAATGGGAAACATGCTAGGGAACGACGATGCTCGTGAGCGATCAGGACGCAGCACCTGGCTCACAGCTACATCCCATCTCCAGTGCTGGGTAACGCCTCTCCCATCATCCGCTGCTGTGTTCAGCGTTGCCAGACGTTGGGATCTTCCCCGAGAGCTGCTGGAAGAGCTGGGATGGCGGGTTCAAATCCCAGGGCGTTTGGGATGAGCACTTGGCAGTTGTTAATTTTGTTTTGGCTCTGTCAATTGAAGTGTTGGTGTAGCAACACGTTGATTTAGGTGAAGTTTTCTCACCTTCAGGATCTGAAAAGAGGTGGCAGATAATTAGGAAACGTGAGTTGGTGTCTTTGCTCCTGTCCTGCCATATGTGGCTGAAGAGAATGCAGGAGCTAGGCTAGGCTCGTGGCCTTTTAACCATGGTCTTCCAAAAAATCCATCCAGGACTGCAGAAGGGACGTAGTGCAGCAAATAGGTCTTTGATAAATCGGTGTTTGGGAGTGGAGCGACCGATGACGGCAGTGGTTTTTGTTTGTAGGAACCCTGCAGGTCTAGATGTGTGTGAATTGATGCAGTTTTATTGCAGGGTATCCCTTGCTCCTGTAGGAAAACAGCGTTGTTGGCCTCTGCCTGGTGTGCTGCGTAACACAGCTTGTGCTTTCTCCAGTGACAAAGCTCAAAAGTGAAACATTAACAGACCCTAGGGATGTTTTTCAGGCTCAAATAAGTCGCTATTTCTGCGCAGACCCAGGGGAGGGTGTGCTGGGTTCTGTCGCGCAGTCCTGGCTTGCTGCTGTGGAGAGAAACGGCCCAGAGAGGGAGCTAAAACGCCTCAGTTGCTGCTGGAAGGGGAAAACAAGTGACAAATTCATGTTGAGTTTGATGTGAATGCAGGCAGGGAGCGGACAAGGACGTCAGGATCTGGCAAATTGTTCCGCTGTGCCGGTGTCAAGCTCGTGGCTGGCACCGTTTCGTGCCGCGGGCCCACGCTGGGAGCTCTGACGCTGAATCAACCGCTGTGGGGATGAATTTTCACTGGTGCAGGTGCCAAGATGAGGTGTTTCCCCCCTGCCCACCCCTGCCTCCTTTTGGTCCTGTTTCAACAACTTCTGGTGTCTGTTCCAGTACGGGAAGATTGAAAACAGACTAGGCTTTTAAAGTGTTTTTATATATTGTTTGTAAATGCTTGTTGAAGTGATATTTTATTAAACAGTTTTGCTCTAACAGCTTCTCCAGTGTGAGGTCTGTCAACTTTTTGGGAACCAGCGTGGTTTTGTCTTACCCTGCGTGTTGAGTTTGGACTCAGGAGAGGAGTCTCCAGTGGTTTGGTTTTCTGGGGGGGTGGGAGGGGAAGGCTAGCCCTGAGTTATTCTGTCCTTGAGCCTCGGTTATAAAAACATCAAGCAGCTTCTATTTAAATGTGACGATACCACGTGTAGCTCTGGACTGAATAGCAGCCAGGCTGCCCGGCTCACAGCTACACCGCGTTCTCATTAAACAACCAAATGGAGACTACAGTTTGTTCCAGTCGTTTATTTTGTATCACGGTATTTCAGAGCAGTGAGTACAGAGGGTTTGCTCTTCTAGGCTTCAATACACTCAAACTATTGTGCCTAGACTACGGCAGCCTGTCTATAGAAGCTGTATTTCATAAGGAAGTTGTAACATCACAGCACAAAAACTCCTTTACGGCTAGATCTAATGACAGAGTTAGGAGCCTGGTGGGTTTGAAGTCTGATATTTAGGTGCCTCGGCCCTGTGATGGACTTGGCACCCACTGAGGTGCCTGGACTCCTGCTACGGGGGGGACAGAGAGACTTGGGCAGCTCTGAAGGATGATGCAGGAACCTCTCCACCAAGCTCTTCCTATAGGTCACAGGAAATTCTGCAGCGTGGGTGAGAGCTTCTGAAAAGCCATCTCTCCCCGGAGTCCAGACACAGCGGGTTTGTGAGACTGGAAAGCTGTCCTGAAAGCAAAAGTTGCCTACAACTGCTTGTTCTGAAAGCAGCGCCTAAATCAGTTCTTGGATCTAGCCCGGGGCTTTGTGACAGGCCTCTAGGTACCAGCAGGCTGAAATACGCTGGGTTTGTAACATATTGCTTAAAGGTGTTCAATCATACTTCAATTTATAAATTTTATATCAACAGTCGGATCTTTCAAATGAATATTGCTTTTTTTTTTCTTTCTTTTTTAAATAAAATAAATCCTGTTTCTCTAGTCATCCCTGAAATAACATCTTTGTCATGCAAATAGCAGCGTGTAGGCAATTCAAATATAAAGTAACCAAAAGTCTGTCCAGTGGGGAAGTGAGGCACTTTGGCAAAGTGACTTGGAGTCACTCGTGATCTAAGCAAGACATAGGAACAATCCCTAGACCCGATTCCCATTCTTGAGCTTGAGTCCCACTGGACAGGCACATGTCTGGAAATACTGCGAGGTGGCAGCAATACCTTTGCTGTGTCAAGGTGGGCTAGTTCCACGTGTCAACGTTTAACCTCACTCTTCTGAGCTCATTTCCTGGACCTCTCGCTCCAGAAGCCAGAATAACTTGGTTCCAGTTCTCCGTTTTGAGAGCAAGGATGGTTTAGAGTAAGGTAAGCATTCTAAAAACAGCAAAACTGACTTTTCACAGACACAGGTGTGGTGCAAAGACAACGTAGATGATATTTTGGTACGGAAAATAAAGTCTGTTAACCAGGCCATCTGTTGGTAATACGTTATACTCTTTTTTTTTTTTTTTTTTTTTTTTTGGTGTGCCAGACGGTGTGTTCTAGGAGCGATCTGGCTTTTCTGAAAGTCTAAAGAACGCTTGAAAAAACACACACGATATCTCTGCAGGTGAGTCCGTGCTCCAGCATCTGCTGGAGCTGCATCTTACTGAGGTGGTGGAGGAATTCCTTCTGAAGTCGCTTTCAGCTTTTCTCTCTCCCTTTCTTCTTTCTCAAATCCTGAACAACAGATGGATCTGCCTTTGGGGTACCGGGCGCAGCACTTGCGCATTTCCTGCAGCAGGGTTTCACACTTAGACTCCACGTAGTTGTTCACTGGAAAATAAGAAGGAGACACAAAGCCTGCAGAGGGGAAGAGGTTTTGTCCCCGGAGGGTACACATCCAGCCCGTCAGCTGTTTCTCTGAAAAGCAAAGCTGCTTACAAGCATTTCATCACTTTCTCTGCTCTACAAAATAATCTCTTTATTTTCAGTTATCTAAAGCGGGCAAAAGCAGCCTGGCTGTTGTAGGTAGGAGTGTCTTTAGTCCCCTCATTCTATACCTATCACATCTCACTACATTAAGAATGTTTCCCTCATTGCTGCCTTTCAGTCTTTACTTTCTTGAGCCTACAGAATCACAGATGGTTTGGGCTGGAAGAGACCTTAAAGACCATCTGGTTTCAAACCCCCTCCCGCAGGCAGGGACACCTTCCACTGGATGAGGTTGCTCAAAGTCCCGTCCAACCTGGCCTTCAACACTTCCAGTGAGGGGGCATCCACAACTGGGCAACATGTTCCAGTGTCTCACCAGCCTCACAGCTAAGAATTTCTCCCTAATATCTCACCTCTCTTTCAGTTTGA